TGTAACCTTGCAGATGCTGTTCCAGAGGCGGCACATCTCCTCCTGGCTGGTAAGAACTCCAGGCATCCTCTTCCTTCCGGCACAAGTTCCTTGCTTCCACAGACCTGGCAGTGAAACCTGCCTGGAAGGGACCCCCAGCCCCTGCATCCAGCCTCCAGCACCGGCTCCTGCTACCCCACTGGCTGTAGGGGAGGTGGAGTGGGCCAAGGGCCGGTTGGGGCAGAGGACAGCTCTGCCTGATAAGGCCCAGGTGTGGGGGAGGGCCCTGTCCCTTAACACCCAGGTGGGGTGAAGGGATTGAAGGAAAACAGCTGGATTCTGAAAGCTGGTTGCCTGTCAGTCCTTGAAGTGTCTCTGTCTGGAGGTCAAGGTCCTTAGGATGTCCTTTGGGGTGATGGGGAAGGGGTCTTGGCTAGGTCGCATCTGATCAGCATCTCATAAGTCTATCGATTGCACTAGGCAAGCAAGAAACTGGGCCAGGTCACAGGCAGGGTTTGGGCTGACCCTGAGCCCTTCATCTTCCCTTGCCACAGGCCCGATGGTTTCCTAAAACTCCAGCAAAACCAGTGGTGGCCCAGAAAATCCCCATCAAGGTGGAGTTGGTGGCTGGGAAAACCTACAGATGGTGTGTGTGTGGCCGCAGCAAGAAGCAGGTGAGAGAGCCCTGCTATTCCTCCCATGGACACTGCTGGTTGGGGACAGCGTGGTGGCGTTTTCTGAGAACTCTCCCAATGTCCCTGTTCTTTCCACACATACCTGAGGGACAGCAGAGGCGGCATGGGGTCAAAAGGAGAGCTTGCAGGTCAGTGCCACTAAGCACTGGCCTTGAGCTAAATAAAGTATATGGGAGGGCTGGGAAGGTGGCTCAGTGGTAGAGCGCTTGCCTTGCATGCCAGAGGCCCTGGGTTCAATTCCTCAGCACCACATAAGCAAAAAAAGAAAAAAAGCCGGAGGTGGTGCTGTGGCTCAAGTGGTAGAGCACTATCCTTGAGCTGAAGAGCTAAGGGACGGTACCCAGGCCCAGAGTTCAGGCCCCATGACTGGACCCCCCCCCCAAAAAAAAAAGTATATGGGAGCACCTTGAAATGAAGTAGGAGGCAGAGAGAATATCACTGTTGTAGTTTCAGCCACAGTGAGCTTTTTTTGTGCTTTCCTCAGCTGCCTTCCTCCTTCCAGGAAGCACCTGGTGGAGATTCCCAAGTCTTGGACCCCATTCTGGGAAGATCCTACCTAGCTTTCCCAAACCCCTTTGCAGGACTCTTCTCCGGTGGATGTGACTTTCCTGTCTTCTCACCCCTGTGCAATGTGATGCTGGCTCTCCCTTCTCCCTGCTGTCCCAGAGCCCTTCATTCCAGCAGGAACCTGGCCCAGGTTCTTGGCCTCACCCTTTCCTTTCAGAGCAGAGTTCATCACTGTTCTTTCAAGCCACATGGGTGTGGTTAGCAGCCCAGGTTCCCAGTCCCACTTGGACACCAATCTGCTGTGGGCTCTGAGCAGATCTTCCCAAGGTTGGCACAATGCCAGAGGCACACCAGCCAGAGGAATGTGGCCTGAAGGAGTGGGTAGCTGATTGAGCCTCAGCTTCATGCTCTGGGTCAGGTTGCTGACTTTCACTCCTGACTCCTCTCCCTATCTTCTCTTGCCCCCCCCTAAGGTCAAGAGACCTTGGCTCCAGCTCTGATCCTTAATTACAGGTCTCTCTCCTTCTTTGGCCTCAATTTCCTTCAGCTAGTCCACTTGAACTACTGGGATGGATGGGCATACACTGCCAGTCAACTGGGTTATCTTAGGACATCCCCTCCTGCCTGTAATAGGCCCAGTTTGTGTGTGCATGTGCATGTGCTAGGACTTAAACTCAGAGCCTTGCACTTTTCTTTCTATTTTTTCCAGTCCTGGGGCTTGAACTCAGGACCTGAGTACTGTCCCTGAGCTTCTTTGGCTCAAGCCTAGCACTCTACCATGTGAGCCATAGCTCCACTTCCAGCTTTTTTTTGCTTATGTAGTACTGAGGAATCAAACTCAGGGTTTCATGCATGCTAGGCAAGCATTCTACCACTAAGCCACATTCCCAGCCCACCTTGCATTCTTGCTTGGGCTTTTTCGTTCAAGACTAACACTCTAGTAATTGAGCCATTCCTCTGTTTCTGGTGTTTTGCTGGTTACTTGGAGATAAGGGTCTCACAGACTTTTCTGCCTGAGCTAGCTTTGAACCAGGATCCTCAGATCTCTCTCTCCTGAGTAACTAGTACGGGGCATGAGTCTCCAGAGCCTGACAATAAACTTTGTTTCCCCAAGCTGGAAAGGACAGCCCCATGAGTGTGTAAGGTGATACCCACAGATGCCTTCCCTCTTGGAGAACTTTTTTGAGGGGAACACAGGGAAGGAAATTATTTTCATGAACCAATGGAGATTTGGCCAATTACAAAATAAAACCTGGCCCAGTGCTGTGGTTCACACCTGTAATCCCAGCTACAAGGGAGGTGGAGATTGAGAAAATCAAGGTTTTTATTCCATTCTAAACAAAAAAATTCCCAAGAGCTTATCTCAACAATAAACTGCCTTTGATCCAGCTGGGTGGGAGGCAAGTTTAAGATTATGGTCCAGGGCCAGCCTGGGAAAAAGTTAAGACTATGTCTGAAAATACTAAAAACAAAACAAAAGGCTAGAGATGTGGCTCCTGTCATGGAAGCCTGCCTAGATAAAAAATAAAAATTAGCCGGGCGCTGGTGGCTCACGCCTGTAATCCTAGCTACTCAGAAGGCTGAGATCTGAGGATCACAGTTCAAAGCCAGCCCGGGCAGGAAAGACCGTGAGACTCCTATCTCCAATAAACCACTAGAAAACCGGCAGTGGCGCTGTAGCTCAAGTGGTAGAGCGCTCACCTTGAGCTGAAGAGCTGAGGGACAGCGCCCAGGCCCAGAGTTCAAGCCCCACGACCGACAAAAAAAATAAATAAAATAAAAAAATAAATAAAAATTATACCTGGACCTGGATATGTAGTGCATACTTATAATAGCCCCAGAGGAAGCTAAGGCAAGTGGACTATCTAGCCTAGGCTACACAGTCTGAGTAGCGTAGTGAATGAATCCTATCTCAAAAACAGCTAAATCAGGCTGGGCACTGGTGGCTCATGCCTGTAATCCTAGCTACTCATGAGACTGAGATCTGAGGATCCTGGTTCAAAGCCAGCCCCGGGAAGGAAAGTCCGTGAGACTCTTAACTCCAATTAGCTACCAGCAAACTGGAAGTGGTGGTGTGGCTCAAAGTGGTAGAGCACTAACTTTGGGCAGAAGAGCTCAGGGACAGTGCCCAGGCCCTGAGTTCAAGCCCCACAACTGACCAAAAAAACAAAAAAAACAAAAAAAAAAACACCAAATGAGCACTGGTAGCAATCCCAGCTACTCAGGAGGCTGAGATCTGAGGATTAGATAGTTCAAAGCTAGTCTGGGCAGTAAAGTCTATGAGACTCTTATTTTCAATTAAGCCCTAATACAGCCAGAAGTGGAGTTATGGCCTTGAGCAAAAAATGCTCAGGGAGCTAGGTACCAGTGACTTGCACCTATAATCCTAGCTACTCAGGAGGCTGAGATCTGAGAATTGTAGTTCAAAGCCAGCTGGGGGGTAGGGGGGAAAGAGGGGAGAGAATCCCTAAGACTTTTTTTTTTTGCTGGTCACGGGGCCTGAACTCTAGACCTGGGCGCTGTCCCTCAGCTCTTCAGCTCAAGGCTAGAACTCTACCACTTGAGTTACAGCACCACTTCCAGCCTTTTTTGCTTATGTAGTGCTGAAGAATCGAACCCAGGTACTCATACAAGGCAAGCACTCTACCATTGAGCCACCTTCCCAGCCCCCCCCTAAAACTCTTTTTTGTTTGTTTTTTTGGGGGGTCTTGTCATGGGGCCTGAACTCTGGGCCTGGGTGCTATCCTTCAGCTCTTCACCTCACGGCTAGCACTCTACTACTTGAGCCACAGTGCCATTTCTGGTTTTTTTCTTTTTGCTTATGTGGTGCTGAGGAATCGAACCCAGGGCCTCATGCATGCAAGGCAAGCGCTCTACCACTGAGCCACCTTCCCAGCCCCCATAAATCTCTTTATCTCCAGTTAATCACCAAAAAAGCCTGAAGTGGAACTGTGGCTCAAATAGTGGAGCACTAGCTAGCTTTGAGCAAAAAAGCCTAGGCCCTGAGTTCAAGCCCCGACTGGAAAGCAAAACCCAATACACACTATAGGGAAAATGCACAATGACCACTGTTTACCTCATTCTCTCAGGTTCACTACCCTACTTTGCAGAGGCAGAGCAGTATGCCCAGGCCTTTTACCAGAGCCTGAGCCCAGACCACTTAATGCCCAGACCTATCCTGCTTCAGCAAGTAGGGGCAGGTCTTTGACTCTTTTCTCCTCCCCCACCAGCCTTTCTGTGATGGCTCCCACTTCTTCCAGCGCACTGGCCTGTTCCCACTCAAGTTCAAGGCCCAGGAGACCTGCACAGTGTCCCTCTGTACCTGCAAAGCCACCAAGAAGCCGCCATACTGTGATGGCACCCACAGAAGTGAGCCGATACAGAAAGCAGAAGTGGGCTCCCCAGTCTGAGGGTGACTGTCCCCCAGAAGTCACACATCCACCTCTGACAAGCAGGCCCTTGGTGGGGAAGCACATTAGAGTACAAGGCCAAGGGATCCTCTGGGGTCCTCAGCTGGCTTGTCCAGACCTGTGGTCTCCAGTCAGGGGAGCCAAGAGTGGGCCCTTGGTGGAAAGATAGCAATAAAGGCCTGTCACATCAGAGCCATGTTCATGTGGTTGCTGACAAAGCACACAAGCTGTCTCCTGCTCAACATTGTGACCTGGGCTGAGAATCTGGAGGGCCACAGGGGTGACAGTTCAGATCCATTCTGTGGGGTGCCCAAGACAGGCTGTGCCCAGAGACCATGGGCTTGGTGAGGTCAGGGGACCACCCACCCTGTCCCTTTCCCTCTACCCCCAAAGAACTCGAGGCACCAGCGAGTATGCAGCATTTATTACAAAGCCAAGAGATACAAATGTCCTGGGGTAGGGTACAGTCACAGCACCTCAGACACAGAACGAGGTGCAAGCACAGACCACGGAGGCTCCAGCCCCGACACAGCTGGAGTCTGGCCTCCTCTGGTCCATGCACAGTTGAGGAGAACCACGGCAGCAGGGATCTGACCTTAAGGGGTCTGCTGACCCTTTGGGGGTAGTTAGGATCAGAGCTTGCACTTTGCTTTCTTGTGCTTCTAGATATCTCTGTCCTGGGCTCAGCTAGAGATGAGGAAGGCTGGAGGGCTGTTGTCTTTTGGAAAACCTGGGGTCTGTGCTTGTCTGGAGGGAACCCCACCCTTCTACTTTAGGTCCCAAATGAGACTTCACCTCCATCCTGGACCAGAATGGGGCAGGAAGGGTGAAGCACCCACAATGCCAAAGCCACATAGGGACTTTCAGGGGCTGGGGTCCCCGTGGCCTGAAACTTCTCTCCTACAAGATAAATGAGCAAAGGCCACACAGGAAAAGAAAAGAAAGAAAGAAAAGTACAGAACTATCTATTCTTTGCACAAAGTTTCCACTGCATGAAGAAGCAAGGGAGTTGTCTTTTCCCTTGCCACTTGCTCCTTAGAACCAGGGGACAAACTGCACTTGTAAAAGGCACTGTCTTAGCAATTCTCTGGACATTCAACAACGGGAGGGACTAAGCAGGACAGCAGCCAAGATGGGTAGATAAACAGAAAGGGTCCTAGACCCAGCTGACTAGAGCTATGCTAAAGCTTTGGGGGCTATGGAGCCCCAGCACCCCATCTGCCTTGAGAAGCAGAGGGAGAACAGGGCAGGGATTTACTGAGCCTCTAGTGGCTCCTGGAGACCACTCTAGGCACCCCCAAAAAGAGCAGAGCAAAGTATATAAGACCTCCTAAAAAATGAACACCCCTCCCCAATGCGCGCACACACACACACATACATACACACACATACACACACAGTTTGATTCCTGTGGCATTTAAATTAATCTGGTTTGTCCATAGAAAATAAGTATGTATATTTTGTTTTTCCTATGTACATATATATATAGATTTATTTATAAAACCCGCCTCCCATCCCTAAGATGGAAGGAGCTGGGGAAAGTAGAAGAGGTGGAAAAAAAGGGCCCAGAAAAAGTGGAGGAAGTGGAAGAGGAGGTGGCTGCAAAAAGAAAGGGTCCCTTTCCTCAAGTTAAGGGGGCCACCGGAGCTCCATTGACAGTCATCTTGCGCCCCCTGCTGGTGGATGATGGTGTCTGCAGGCAGTTTGAGGTGCCCCCGTTGGCAGCTGTGGTGCCCCCACTGGCTGCTGAAGCGGGAGTAGGGGAGGTAGGGTGGGTGGCTGGGGGGCAGTGGGAGCTGGGAGATCCATGGGAGGGGGTGGCAGGGCTGGGCAGGGAGGAGGAAGTGGCCGGCAGGGTGGCAGGGCTGGGAGCCTTGTCGCTGGCTGACTCACACTCTGATGCCCCACTGGTGTTGGTACCCTCAGAAGGAGTGGGCACAGTGGGCAGGGTGAGCCGCTTGCAGGCTGGTTGCACACGGTACTTGAGAGGGAGAGGACCATTCTGAGAGGAGAGAGGCAAGACGAGGGAGCTTGTCAGGAGAAAGGCTAACTAAAGGCACCCAACCCTTCCCCACAGCACTGAGAGCTGGTGGAGCCAGGAGACAAAAATGAAGCCAGAAGCCTGGTGCCGGTGGCTCAAGCATGTAATCCTAGCTACTCAGGAGGCTGAGATCTGAGGATCACAGTTCAAAGCCAGCCCGGGCAGCAAAGTCTATAAGACTCTTATCTCCAGTTAACCACCAAAATATCGGAAGTGGTGCTGTGGCTCAAGTGGTAGAGCACTCGCCTTGAGCTGAAGAGCTCAGGGACAGCGCTCAGACTGAGCTCAAGCCCCATAACCAACAAAAAAATAAAAATAAAAAGTCAGACACCTGGACACAGTCTCAGAGAAGGAAGGAGACAAAATGAGGAGAGCAGCCATCCCTATCTGATCCCACATCTGGGCAAGTGACAGGCCAGGGGAGCCCTTTCTCCTCAAAGTCAGCGAGACATGGCTCAGAAGCTGACCTGCTGTCAGGCTACCCTGGACATGCCCAGGGGCGGACTGGGATGGCACAAGGTGCCACGTGATCGCATGGCCACAGACCAATACCAGGCCCTGTGGGGGTCTCCTTCCTGCCTGTCCTCACCCTTACAGTGCCCCACCCTGCCAGCTCACCCGCCGCCAGGGGTAGATGTAAGCGATGTCCATGAGTGTGTAGTATTCCTTCAGGGGCTCATCCTCATACAGGACTTCCACCTAGAGGAACGGGGAGGACACTGTGAACCTGGTCAGGTGCAGAGGCCACCAGGCTGGCAACTCAGATGAGGCAATATAAACAGTGGACTGCAGGTGGCCCCTCATTACTCTGGGCTTACACAATGGATGACTAGAGTTGTCCTGATCTCTACCAAGTAGGAAGGGGTGCCAGCCCTCTTCTCTGCAGATTGCCTAGAGGAAGATGAGAGGACCCCCTAGACCCTAGCTGTCACCTCTGCTGCATGAAGGGCCTCCCCACCAAAGTCCAGAGACTCTGACTTCATGTATAACAGACTTTCCAATGGACCTTCAGCCTCAGCAGCTCCAGGAGCCGGGTAGAAATGCAGAATGGACTGCAGTAGAATCTGTGTTCTGACAAGCTCTCCAGGGACTATATCACAGTTGTCCTCCAGCTCCTCTGGCCTTTCCATAGCCAGGTGGCCTGTATTTCTGCACACACATGCCTCTTTCACAGTTCTTGGTGAACAAGTACAAGTATCAACACACATCCCCTTGTCCCAAGCTCTGACTTCAACGAATGGTCCTGCCCTGATGTGGGTTCAGCCATGCTCAGTTATGCAACCATTCCAGCCCTTGGGGACACCCAGCCAGCCCAAACAATGGTTGGGGTGCTGATCACCACACACCTCCCACCACCACATCCACACCCACTGAGAAGGCCCCAGCACCCACCTTGTACTTGCTGGGCACATCCATCTTGTTGCGGAGGAACTTGGCGAGATGCATGACGGTCATGGCTGCGGGGCATCGCAGGAAGCGCACCCCTGTCTGGGGGGGTGGGGTGGAAGGCGTTTGTGAGGGGTCCTGCCCCAAGCCACTCTCTCCCAGCCCACAGCCACAGCCCATTCCCAGGCAGGTCCCAGCACTCACTTTTTCCTTGTCCCCATCTCCATTCTCCAGCAGACCCTTCTTCTCCTCCCGGTCCCTGGAGGAGAGAAGAAAGCTTTAGATACCTTGGACCAGGCAGGATCCCCAAATACACAGGTTCTGAGGGCTCCCAGGGGATGGAGGCATGTCTGGGCCAGACTTGCCTGACTCCTTCATAGAACTCGATGGAGAGGCTGACAATCTCATCATCACTCAGAGCCCCCTTCTCCTGCTCTAGGACCTCCCCGCGATCCTCATTGGAGCCATTGGGGACTGCAAAAGGACACAGCTCAGATGCGTTGGCCGAAGATGAGGAGCCCCACCAAAGACCTAGGGTGTCATGTGACCATCAGGGTGAGCCCAGCCACCCTGTGAGCTGCAGTTTCCAGCGGGGAGTGGCTGGGTAGGGGGTGGGAGGGGGAGAGGAGCGCTCATGGCTAGGGAACACTCACCCTCTGTCAGGGGGTATGCTGCATAGAAATCCCGCCGCCGTTTCATCTCATCTGGAAGGAGGAAGTGGTGAGACGGGAACAGGCTGGAAATGAGGGCAGTGGGGGGGAGGAGGTGGGGTACACAAATACCTTTAAAAAGCCCAGGGACCAATTTGTACACAATATCTTGAAGGGTTTTGTCAGACCTAGGAAAGAATGCACAAGGGTGTGTCAGCAGCCCTATCCCATTCAGGAACCTCTTCCCATTCCTTCCACACACCCAGCACCCAGGCATAGATCCAGTCAATGCGCCTCTAGTATTGCTCGCGCTGTGAGATGCTAGATGTCACCAGAGGGAGAGGAAGGGTCTGGTTCCCACCCTGCTGTTCTGGCTGAGAAGGCAAGGAGGGGGAGGGGAAGGAGGAGAGGCAGGGGCAGGGGCCGGTGAGGGACCCACCTGATACTCAGCAGTGGCCGGGTTTTATGGACCTGCACGTCACACATGGGGCAGTATTTGTTGGTCTCCAGGTAGCGCACGATACAAGTTTTGCAGACTTGGGGTGTGGAGAGAGGAGAGTTAGACCCCCTTCCTAGCTCAGGCCCAGTCCCCATATCTCTACTCAAGAGTCAGGGATTCCTCTGCCAGGTCCTGGCAGCTCAGGCCTATTCAAAGGACCAATAGGGTAATGTGCTTTTTGCACACTGCGCACAGCCATTTGTGGGGGAGGATGGGCCCTGTTAGGATACGTCCTTGGGTCATTGACCTCTTGCAACCAGACCCAAAAAAAGAGTGGTCACAAGTGAACCCCAAATCTTGAGGGGGTGGAATCTCAGACACAGACATTCAAGAGAGAACAGATTTCAGATGCAGCCCCAGGGACAAATTTCTAGGCACGCACACATACACACACACGCATGTGCTCGTGCACACGCGCATGCGCACACGTGCGCGTGCACACACACACACACACACACACACACACACACACACACACACACCTTACTGTTCTTCCAAGGCTGCCTCTTTGTGACCAACCATGTAGACATAGCAATGTCTGCACTCTAGGACTGGGGCTATGTGTTGGACCTTCCTGGGGCAGTGCCTGGCCACAGAAGCTGTCCACCTGAGTACCTGCCCACCCCTGTACCCAGCTCACAGGAATGCAGGCACTCCACGATGGTGGTGGCATCAATGAAGTACCCTCCACACAGGGCACACATGAGGTGAGGGTTCAGCTCCGTAATTTTGATCCGTGTGGTCCGATGCATGATGCCGGGGCTGGGGGTGGGAACTGGAAAGCTCACCCTGGGAAATGGGAAGTGGAATCAGAAACCTAGCAATCCCATGACTCCTTTTTATTTTTAGTCGGTCGTGGGGCCTGAACTCTGGGCCTGGGCACTGTCCCTCAGCTCTTCAGCTCAAGGCTAGCGCTCTACCACTTGAGCCACAGTGCCGCTTCCAGCTCCTATGACCCTTCTTGTACCAGCCCTCCCTAAGCCCTTGACCCTTCTCTGCCTTCAAGGTAGGACTGGATGCAGATAGATAGCTACAACTCTCTGTCCCGCTGAGTGGGTGTCAGTGACTCAGGAGATCCATGTCACCTTTATTTATTTATTTATTTATTTAGTCAGTCAGTCATGGGGCTTGAACTCTGGCCCTGGGCACTGTCCCTCAGCTCTTCAGCTCAAAGCTAGTGCTCTACCATTTGAGCTACAGCACCACTTCTGGTTTTTTAGTGGTTAATTGGAGATAAAAGTCTCACAGGGAATTTCCTGCTCAGGCTGGCTTTGAACCACAATCCTCAGATCTCAGCCTCCTGAGTAGCTAGGATTACAGACGTGAGCCCCCGGTGCCCAGCTAACTTTCTTTTTTAAAAAACCAGTATAGGGGGGAGGATGGGAAGGGATGGAAAGGGGAAACAAAGGAGGAGGCTACAATGCTTGATAAGAAATGTACTCATTGGGGCTGAGAAGGTGGCTCAGTGGAAGAGCGCTTGCCTTGCATGCATGAGGCCCTGGGTTCGATTCCTCAGCACCAGATAAGCAGAAAAAAAAAAAAGCTGGAAATGGTACTATGGCTCAAATGGTAGCGTGCTAGCTTTGAGCTGAAGAGCTAAGGGACAGCGCCCAGGCCCAGAGTTCAGGCCCCACCACCGGACCCCCCAAGAAATGTACTCATTATCTTGCCCATGTAATTGTAACCCCTCTGTACAGTATTTTCACAATTAAAAAAAAAAAAAAACCAGTATCAGGCTGGGAATGTGGCTTAGTGGTAGAGTGCTTGTTAGACAAGCATGCATGAAGCCCTGGGTTCAATTCCTTAGCACCACATAAGCAGAAAAGACCAGAAATGGTGCTGTGCTTAAGTGTCAGTGCTAGTCTTAGTGCTAGTCTCAGGGACAGTGCCCAGACCCTGAAGTCAAGCCTCAAAACTGGCAAAAATAAAATAAATAAAAAAAACAATATCAAGGCTTAAATTAAAAAACCAATACCAAGGCTTGAATTCCATGTAACCTTTGAGAAACAAGGTCAGGAAAGACAGAAGTCAGACCAGAAGAAGGATTAGCCAACTCTCCGAGAGGGTGTGGGGAGACAATTGGAAGAAAGCAGAGGGGTGTGTATGTGTGTGCCTGTACTATGGCATGAAATCAGGGTCTTGTGTCTTGCTCAGCTTTTTCTTCTCACAGCTGATTCTCTATCACTTGAGCTATATGTCCAGTTCTGGATTTTTGTTGGTTAACTAGAGCTAATAGTCTCATGGGTTTTTCTGCCTGGCTGACTTTGAACCATGGTCCTCAAATCTCAGCCTCCTAAGTGGCTAAAATCAGAGGAGTGAACCACCTACCCTGGGCTTGAAAAGAAAATCCTTCTGTTCCCACCCTAGATCCACTCATATGGCTAAACATTCATAAAGTACTTGGAATTATAGAAAACTCAGAGAAGCCACTGCCCTGAACTTCAAAGTAAAAAAAGGGAAGAACAAATCACACCTGCTCCCTCAACCTTCTACCCAGTGGCAAAGGCCTTTCATTCCTCAAGCAGCCTTCCCCAGAAACCCTAGGGAACAGGCTTCCTGCCCTAAGTTTGGAAGGGGTGTGTCCTCTGGCTGTGTGTCCTGGCAGTTCCTTGAAGTCCATCAGAAGCTGCCATTTGGCTTTTGGGCCTAGTACTTGGGCAGGGAATATTAAAGATGGTCCTAATGTGCTTCCAACTGGGGACACAAAGTTCCTTCCTGTTTCAAGGCCCAACCCTGGACTCTGTAGGTAACTGCAGTAAGTGGCCTGGGCAAAAAGACTGCTCTTGCCTGGTCTCAGGAATTGCACACACACTGTGCTGACACACAGCCCGGTGTGCAGTGCCTACAAGCACATATTCCAGAACCTCCCCTTCCATGCATAACACTGGACTTTTCTTCATGTGGGCACTGCCAACTTCCCACCATCTCCTGCCCTACTGACATCTCTGTTACCTGGCCACAGGCTGTCTAGCACCAAACCACAAGCTCTCTTACATGCCTGCCAAAGTTGGGCAGAAAGTATTCTGTTTCTAGTTCCTCAGGCACCTGCTAGATGTTGGCAAGGCCTAGAAGTCAGTCCCAGGCTTGCCCTGGGCCTCGGAGGGCCTCCCTTATCCCATTCCCAGAGTAGGAGCCCAGAGGAGGGGCTAGGGAAGATGGCCAAGCCCCAATAGCTCCTTTACAGCACACTCATACTATGCTCTCTTCCAGAAAGATTTCTAAAGCCGCTACACTGGGTTTTCTAGGATAAGAAATTCACAGCCGGGATCAGCAGTTTCTATAGAGACCCTAAGATGAGGCTGGCCAGGACCCAAGCAACAATGGAGGCCCAGGGCACCTGGCCAGAGACACACACACATACACACATAAAGGCCAGACAAGGGACAGACACCAACTCTCAGGACAGACAGAGGAAAACAAGACTGCCACAGAGCCAGCCCAAAGAGGCAGCTGTCCTCAAAGCTTGCAGCCCCACTGGAGGAAAGAAAGGGGTTCCACCCGACGAACGTGGCCTCAGCCAGTCTCCCTGCGTGGGTTCCCCTTCACAATTACGCAGAAGGCTGCTGGCTACTCCACTGTTTGGTTGTTTCCATAGCAACACTGTCCCTGGCAAGATTCCCAAATATTATTACAACCATCCAAAGGAGAGAACAAACTCCAGTGGCTGTCTCTTTTGAGTATGTGGGATATCCACTGTATGCGTACGTGCTGTCTGGGCTGCCTGAGGTGTGTCACATGATTGCTTGTCCTGTGCGTGTCTATGTCTAGATGTACCCACATATGTGTGCGTGTGCATGCAGAGCCAGGAATAAAACATATTATGTTCAGATCCCCTATGGGGTCCAGGCTGTTAGCAGTCTATCATCCCGTACATGTACACGTGCACCACACACACACAAAACAGTCCATTGTTCCTCAACACACACCTGTGCATGCATACATGTGCACACACAATGCCTCAATCTCTCTTCCACACGCATGTGCACACATTCACACTGCTCATCTCTCCTATATTTTTGCACAATACCCTATTTCTTTCACACATATACATACACAATGCCCCACTTCTCTTCTATGCACACACATGCCCACATAACACTCATCTCCCTACCATACACAGGCATAGGTGCATGTGCGCAAGCACGCACGCGCACACACACAAACACAAACTGCAGGCGCTTCACACTGCCTTAGCCACTTCATTCACACCCTCTGTGTTTGAAAAACAGACACTAGCTTTTTAAGACACACAGGATCTCACTGGCCCCACCCTCGCTTTTCTCCTTCCCTGCATTGATGAGAATTCAGACCAAGATCAGCCCCCAAGCCCCTTTCTGGGAGCAGGGCAAAGGAAGGCAAAGAGCTGCTTACTGAATGAAATGCTCCTGTGTCCTTTTTGAGGAAGGAACCTCTCTGCTCCCCCTCCCAATCCCCAAGGGCCTCAGAGAGCCACCTCTGGGGTTGAGGGTGGAGAGGAGCACTGATTGGCTCCTTACCTGATTGCCATGGTTACCTGCAGGCCTTGCCAGCAGGTTCCAAGAGCAACTATAAACAGGAGCTGGATTCTGCCAGAGCATCCCCTCCCTAGGCTCAGGCCTGGGGCCCCACATCAGATACCCAGCTCTCCCTCAGATGAAATGGCTGTGATGTCCAGCTGCCACTGCTAGAAGGGAGAGCTGAGGAAGAAAAGAGTGGGAAACACAGGGCTCAAAAAGCAGAAATAGCTCCGTGCTGATGGCTCATACCTGGAATCCTAACCACTCAGGAGGCTGAGATCTGAGGATTGTGGTTCGAAGCTAGCTCTGGCAAGAAAATCTGTGAGACTCTTTATCTCCAGTTAACCACTAGAAAATGTGAAGTGGTGCTGTGGCTCAAAGTAGTAGAGTGCTAGACTTGAGCAAAAGAGCTCAGGGACAGTGCCAGGCTGTGAGTTCAAGCCCTATCTCTCTCTCTCTCTCTCTCTCTCTCACACACACACACACACACACAGATGCAGAAATGGGGGAATTGAGAAGTGGCTTGAATGGAGATAGGGAGGGAGATTGAAAGACCAATCTCAACTATGACCTCCCAGTGGAGTACAAAGTCTCCCCTAGCCAAGGCCAGGTCTTTTCCATCTTCTGCCCCAGCCCCCAGCCCCCAGGTAGAAAAAGAGATTGTTGATGAGTATCTAGCACCAAGTCCTGACAAGTTGACTCACTATGTAGGCCTCTCACTCTTCATTTTCCCCTATGGAGGAGCTGGCCTTTGGTAACCTAGAAGTCCCTGGGCCACTTCCTGGGCTGCTAGCTACAGTACTCTGCCCTGCCTTTCTTCCAAATGAAACCAGGGAGGCCTGCTCACTAGGTAATATCCAGGACTCAGGGAGAGCCACTTAAGGTCACATCTCGATGCTTAGACTAGCAGAGGTAGATAGAATAGGATAGGATAGGATATTAAAAGCATCTTAAGCTCACATCTGTAATCTCCACAAAATTCTTATCTCTAACCACCAAAAAGCTGGAAGTAGAGCTGTGGCTCAAGTGGTAGAGCTCTAGCCTTGAGCACAGAGAGGCTCAGGGTCAGTGCCCAGCCCCAGGACTGGCAAAAAAAAAAAAAAAAAAAGCAAACAAGCGTGTGTCCTACCTTCTCATTTTACAAATGAAGACATTCAAGTGAAGCTGTGGCTCAAGCGGTAGAAAGCTCGCCTTGAGCTGAAGAGCCAGGGACAGCGCCCAGGCCCAGAGTTCAAGCCCCATGACCGACCAAAAAAAAAAAAAAAAAAGATATTGCTGGGGCTGGGAAGGTGGCTCAGTGGTAGAGCACTTGTCTTGCATGGCTGGGGCCCTGGGTTCGATTCCTCAGCACCACATAAGCAAAAAGAAAAAAGCCGGAAGTGGCGCTGTGGCTCAAGTAGTAGAACGCTAGCCTTGAGCTGAAGAGCTGAGGGACAGCGCCCAGGCCCAGAGTTCAGGCCCCACGACCAGACCGCCCCCCCCCAAAAAAAAAAAAAAAAAGAAATTCAGAAGTAAACTAAAGGTCACAATAGCAAAGCAGTGGCCATCCCAGGACAAGAATCTGCCTGCATCCTGTTCCTTGGGCATCCAGGGCATGAGGCGGGACTCTCATTCACCTAAGGAACTAAGAAGCCTAGAGGAAATGACTTCATGGAGACCTACTGGGAGAAAGGTAGAAGGGCAGCTGCCTGGACTGGCAATAACCACTTTGTGGGCTTTCTTAAGGAAGTCACAGTCTGGCCGAAACATGACTGTGGTGAAGGAGGAAGAAAAGCCAGAGCTTAATCACCTATTACCATTTCCATGGTACAGAACGGGGAATGGAGGCTGCATGGAAGCAAAGCCAGCCGGAGAGCACAGTGGTAAAACTTAGCTCTGGGGTCTGCAGACTGCTTCATGGACCCAACTTCATGCAAGCCTGTGAATTGCACATTTGTGTTTAGGACCATGGGGTTCTGCTCTGGGATACTGTGAACCTCTCAGCTTTCCCTGTTCCTTGGTGTTGGCACAGGTCCCCAGCATGGAAAAAGCCTTCAGCCTCCTATAGCTCGGCTTCCCCCGTCTCTCAGCTTCCTAAGGTCAAAACAAAGACAAAAACCCCAAGTATACACACTGAACAACGCACTGCACAGAGCCAGACACGCCCCCTTCATCTTCCACACAACACACCAGGCCAGATAAATGTGATAACAAGCACGCCAGACAGACACTTGGCCAGACACACCCTACCACATACTCAGCCAGATTCAAGCCAGGCCCACACTTGACAGATGCACAAACCATTTCCACCCACCCCATCACTTCCCCGCCTGAAACCAGAGCTGCCAACACACTAGCCTTTTGTGCACCCCTGGTTGCTCCCAGAGTAAATTATAACTCTTCCAGCAACAAAGCAGTTCAGCTCCCAACCCCACTGTAGAGCCAGAGGCTGCAGGACCTGTGGTGGGCATCTGACCTGCACAAAGATATAACCTCTTCCTGTTCGGGCTCTCTCCATTCCCATGGCAACAGCTCCACCAACCAAGATCTTAGGGAGGCCAGGGGCAGCAGAGAGGCCCCTTCCTGCTTACCTCCCAAGACTTCAACTTGAGCCCTACTTGGCTAAGCATGGTCTGGACCCTGGAGTCTGTTTCCTGCCTCATTCCAAACACATTTCAGAGTCGTCAAACCAGGGGAACCCCTGGGAAGCTCTCCACCAAAAAGCTACAAGAGAAGTGGCTTTCTGTTCCTCCAGATCATACCACCTCGCAGCAGACAGAAGAAGGGGAAAAATGAGCTTCAGGAATACCACAAACTGCAAGAGGCCCAGAGCAGGAAGCTCAGGACAGTGAAAGACAACCTAGAGACGCCCTCCCCCAGAGAGAGGGTCCCCGGGGAGACTGAGGCAGCCTGAAGGGTGGCGCTGATGTTTGGGGGGGGGGGGCTTGGAGAGACAAAGACCCCCGAGAAAACTCCGGGTAACACCTCTACATCTTTAAACTTCAAACCCTACCTCCTCCTCCCTCACGACATCGGGAGCAATTCCGGGCAGATGGAAGGGGGGTGTTGGGGGAAGGAAAGGAAGGGTTTAGGGGGCATCCCGCGGAGAGAGGCGGGGCAGGGGATGTCTGCAAGCCTCCAAACCCAGCCTCCCCCCGGCTAGCAGCAGGAGGGCCTAGGTGTGGGGAAGGGAAGGGAGGCTGGGGTCCCCAGGGGTAAAGACCTCCCCCCCTCCCCACCCCGGCCTGGCTGGTGGAGGGAAAATAGCGGATAAATGCACCTCCTCAGCCTCGGCTGAACCCGGGTCAAACGATCAGGCACCCGAGTGACCCGGTGGCCACTCCCTCCTTCCCGAGAGCCAAACTTTCGGCGGGGCCCCAAGAGGGGTGTCGGGAAAGAGCTGCGCCGAGGTGGCTCGGGGAGGGGGCGGGGCGCCCCGCGGGGGGACCTGAGCCGGGGGCCGCTGGGGGAGGTGCCGGGAGGACGGGGACCCCCGGGCCGGAGGGGCGCCCCCTGCCCGGACCCCCGCGCGCCCGCGTCGCCCTTACCCCCACGGGAGAGGTGACCCCTGCCCAGCCCGAAAGGGGCAGATCGGCTGGAGCCAGGGGGCAGCCCCGGCAGGGGGGGAGGGGGAGACGCGGGCCGAGACCCCCCCCCCCCCCCCGCGCGAGCCTCCAAAGCCCTCATGGCCACCGGGACTCTCCTCCCTCGCTACCTCGGGAGCAAGGTCTACCAGGGGGGTTGCTGCACAAAGAGGCGGTGGTCGCGGGAGACGCCAAATCGTTCAGAGGGGGAATCCACTTCGGCCATCTTGGAAGGGAGGAAAGAGAAAAAGGGACAGAAAAAAAGGGGGGGGGGGGAGAAAGGCGGACCGCGCGAGCCTGGACAGGGGCCGGCGGGGCGGGCCGGGGGCGGACGGCAGGCCCCGCTCGGGCGCCCCCCTCCCACAGGGGTTTGCGGGGAGAAGGATGGAGAGGACCCCCCCCTTACCGAACCCATCCTCAGATGGTTCCAGGGTAGGGGAAGGGAAGGACGCGCGAGTCCGCGGCCGCTTACCTGGGTCCGGGGTCCGGCGGGTCTCGGGGAGGGGGGGTGGGAGGGAGGGAGGGAAGGAAGGGAGGGGAGGGGGGCCGCAGCCGCGTCGCTCGCTCGGGCGGCGGGAGGGGAGCACCCTACGGCAAGAAAGGAGTTTGTGAGAGCGGCTTGGGGTGGGAGGGAGAAGAGGGGAGGGGAGGGGACGCGGGGGGCGGGGAGGGACCGGAGGGGGGGGGGACAAAATGGCTTTTTTTCCTCCAGACGAGAGTAGGTCCCGCCCACTACTCACCCACGTGACCTCATTCCTTCAGGGTGTTTGCAGAGAGGGGAAGGGGAGGGGAAGAGACTGGCGCGGCAGCCCCCCCCCCCCCGCAGACACCGGTGTCTGGGGGCTCCCCCAAACCAAGACGAGACTCCCCTTCCTCTCCCCACCAATCAGCACCCCTCGACCTGCAGGATAAATCCACCTCTGTTACCTTCTGCCATTATCCCCTTTTCCCCCTAATATGTGTGCACCCCACCACCACCCACCCCCTCAATGACCCTGCGATCCCCACCCTAGCTGGGGCGCCCGGAAAAGGGTGAAATGAGGAGTGGGCGGAAATAGGGCTCGCGGCCTCTCCACACCTGGGCCTGCCCCGAGGGGCGCCCGGGCGGGGGGACACGGCGCCGCCAGCCACGCGCCCCGGTGATTCTCATTCACTCCGACTGACACTCCCTGAAAATCACTAACTGCAGCGGGGACCCCGCGCGAGTCCTGCCCACTCCCTGCCCGCAAGCCGGGCCGAGGCGCGGAGACCCAGAACCCCAGGACCCAGGCGCCGCGGCGTCCGGCCCCTGGGGTCGAGGGGCAGGCGGTGGGGGGGGGGGCGACCTGGGTGGAGGAGGAGATCTACCCCGGGGTGGGGGGAGCCCGGTTTGCTGGGGCGCAGGCCCGTGCACCCCGCAAGCTCGGGCTGGGAAGAATGGAACACAAGCCGGGGTGGGGGAGTGGAGGGGGATGAGCTAAAGACCAGAACACCGGCGCCGGGCCAGGGACACAATAACCGGCTGAATGGGGAGAGGCCGCAGCGGAGTAGGAAATTCAGCACCGGGACTCGAAAGCGGCCCGCGCTCCGGGCCCAGCCGTGCGCCGGTTCCCGCACTTTTCGCTCGGACTCTGGAGCCGTTCGTGCGTCCTGGTCGGCCCCGCGGCGAGAGGCGCCAGGGGAGCGCCAAGGTGGCCGGTGCCAGCCGAGTCCTCCGATCGTCGCCCTCGGCTCCACCTAGCGCTGGCGCTCAGGTCCCCCAGGCGGCTCCGGCCGGGGAGAGAGAACTAAGAAATGGGGGGTTGGGGGGCGGGGAGCTTGGAAACGCAGGCGCCGAAGAAGCTAATGGTTCTGCTTTACGGAGACCACCGTGGGGCCTCATTAGGACGGTCGATGCGCTTATTCGTTATTCACGATTGATTAGGGATGGCCCCCATGATTGTCCCTCCCGAGGATCTGACCAGAAGCGCCATTAAGCGCCCAGACGGTGGGTTAGGAAACCAATCTTCGCTGAGCCCCGGCCTCCCTATTCACCTCTTGCTCCCAGCTGGGGCAGGGAGGTGGGAAATGGAGGGACGGGGGAGGGGGGGCGACTGAGGGTTTTCACCCTCCTGCCACAGATCGCGGGGGCCCAGAGGGCACTGGCCTCCAACTGACCCCAGCTTCAGCTCACGCTGGGGCCGGGGAGGAAGGGCGGGAGAGATTTCCGCCCAGAGGGGTTGGTACGAGGACGGGCGGGAGAGGCCTGGCAGGGTCCGGTCACCTGCTTGCTCCCCGGTCCCTGCATGGTGAATCCTTGCACGAGTTCGCCGGGTCTCCAGGGCATCTTGGGCTCTGCCAGCGAAGATTTGTGCATACACCCGTGCTCTGCCGCATGAAGGAGCGGACAGCAGGGACTCCCATTTGGCCATTTCTCTCGCTAGAACACCCAGAACAAGAGAAACCCCTAAGGGTTTCGCGGAGATCTAAGTCCCACCGGCGATCCACATAGGACCCAGTTGCTGCCCTTCTGTGAAGCAGCAGCTAACACTAAGTGTGTGTGTGTGGTGGGGGGGGGGGGTTTATCCCCTCCGTGGCCCCAATCCAAAGGGCGACCCCAGGGGGCCACTGTGCTAAGCAGGGAGTGGATATCCATTTACTTCTTTCTCAGTCGTTAAGGGCCACTCATGGGGAGAGCTTGCTAAAGACCATGCTACCTATAAAACTTTAACTTAATCCTTTCCAACCCAGATGACCAGCCTTACATTTCTGCCCTTTCTGGCTTTTCACAAAAAGTCTGAGCCAGCCTATACTACACCTGAAATTCTCTGGTCTCCCTGTCTTTATGAAGCCACTTAGAGTCATGTGCCAATGCCAAATACTTCACTGGACATGGGTGGATCAGTAGGACACTCACAGGCCAAAGAGGACAAACCTGGAGAGACACACAACTGTCCCCTTGGCTTCCACAGGACCAGATGTCCCTCCACGTTCATCCCCATGGGCATGTGAGCACTTACACGGTGGGTGAATGTGGGTGTCCCGAAGAGGCCTCCTTAGAATTAGTTATTTCAGAGAACTGATTTGAATCCAGGCTCCCACCCAGCATTCTAGAATGCAATCTCTGGACAGATCAGAACCTTTTCCCCTAGATTTTGAATTTTACCCAGGGTCTCCAAGTGACAATTTTGGAATCATAAAGTCAATGTGTGGGTCACAGATTAGAGACTTTGAAAGGGCAGCAAGCTGGGAAATCTAGGTGGTGATTCCCAGCACCTACCAAGAGCTAGTGTGAGATAAGACCCTTTTAAAAATGGTGTCAAAGGCAGGAGAGGGAGCCTCTACCAGTGCTTTCCAGAGTAGCTTTACCTCTGTGTCTCTTAAGACCAAAGCCAGTCCTTTGTTAGTATCAGTTCCGACCTTCCTATCCTCTTCCCCACTGCTTGCATATATTTCTATTTTGTTGTTGTTTTTCTTTTTTGGGGTGAACCTGTTAACTACTTCTCTTTTCTTTCCTTCTCCTCATTTTGTTGGGGTTTGCCAATTTATGTCTTCGCTTTCTGTCTCTTTCTCTAAATTACATCTGTGGTCTCCCTCTCCCCCTCCTTTCTTTTTATCCCTCACTTTGTCCCTGCCATTCTCTCTCTTTGCTTTCCCTCCTTTCCAGAAGTAATATTTCTAGTTTGTAAAATCCATTGAGGTAGACAATGGAAACAGTCCAACCTACACTGCAAATTAATTGTTAATGATTTAAAAAAAAAAACGGCAAAATATATTGCCTGGTGAGACAAAAACTTGGCATTCTTGTAACCTGACTTGGGGACAGAGGAGTGGTAGGCAGGCAGTGGAGAGACGGGGAGAATTCATGCTATCACGAATAACACATTTTCAACCACAGTGATTCTGTTGTAGAAAAAGCATCACCTCTGCCATTTCATTACAAAATCTGGCTTTTCGACAACTGTGATCAAACCCACATTTAGGGGGAAAATGAAAATAACAAAACGGAACCACGCGTCCCTGGGTGGGCTCGAACCACCAACCTTTCGGTTAACAGCCGAACGCGCTAACCGATTGCGCCACAGAGACGGTGATGGCTACTGGTGCTGCAGAAAGCCGAGTCAATGGGAGCGAGGCTGACGTGGCGCCGAAGCTGAAACCACAGCTCTGAATAAGCGGAGCAGAGACATGGAACCTGGATAGGATGCAGGATCCAAACCCGAGGGAGGCAGCCGGGCACAGAGGCGGAAGGTGAGCAACCTAAGGATTATCAAGCTATGTACAATGAGCTTCTCGCCGGCTCTCTGAGCGGCTCCTCCGCTGGAAATGTTCATTTTCGGGAGCTGACCTCAAGTCAACCTGCAGGGAATCCCAAAGACCAGAACAATCTCCAGCCTCCAAGACTGCCCCCGGCAGCTAAAGCCTTGCAGGCAGGCGCGGAATACCCGCGGCGCCCTCTCCCCCTCGCCCCATTTCCCGTCATTCAACCCGCACTGCATGGGGGTCTCCCACACACCCGGCCCGGGCCGGAGCTAGTGATTATCCCCAGCCTCGCGAAGTGCCCCGCCAGTAGGTAATAGCCGTAAGGGTTTGTAGGATGAATAAACGAAATCCGCTAGCCTGAAGCCACAGCTGGTAGCACCGCGGCTCCCCAAGCTGGAGGCGCGACCCACACACAACCCGCCGCCCCAGCCCACGTGCGCGCAGACCCCGCCCCCAGCCGGGACAGCCAAGTTTAGGTCCGCCGATATCCCGGCATGCACCGCAACGCGACGCTCTTCCGCACTCACAGTGACTTTTCACTTTCCGCTTTCCCCGCCTCCGTTTTGGCTTTCTCAACCAAACTACCCGGATTAGTGATTGACGGGAAATAGAACCAATAGAAAGCTCAATTGGTCAGGCCAACTCGGCCTGTCGGCCAATAGGAATAATAGCAGCGAGAGCGTTGGTACAGGGGGAACCAGAACCGGTTCACTGTAATTGCAGCGGCGAACCCGATTCCTATTACACCGCAATCATGGTGAGACGCGGGGCAAGGGAAAGAATACGGGGTGTGGGTTGAGAAACGGGGATGGGGCGAGGCCAGAATTGGAGGCAGAAAGGGCTTGGTGGTCGGTGGAAAGGAGCTCTTGGCTGCCCGACCGGCCTCTAAAGTGGAGACACGGGGTACGGGCGGAGCGGGGTTCCTGGGCTAGGCTGGGGGCTATGGCGGCATTGGGCTCCTCGCGCTAAATCCCCCCCACTTTTCTACCCTCAGTCTATTATGTC